CACTACTGCCAGGCCCCCCTTCTCTTAGATTGACCTGGGAGGAGACATCTAAATCTCTTTACTTCACACTAGTGGTTCTCAAACTGTGGGTCAAGACCCATTTGGGGGTATCATATTAGATATCCTGCATGTCAAATGTAGGATATCTAATTACATTTCAACTCATGACACTAACAAAATTACAGTTATGAAGTTGCAACAAAATAATTTTAGGGTTGAGGGTCACCATAACATGAGGAACTGTATTAAAGAGTCACAGCATTGGAAGGTTGAGAACCACTACTTCACACAGAGCTTTGTTCTCCTCTGAAGATTCGAGATTGACCACCACACTTTCCTGAGGTCTTACCCAAGCCCACTTGAACTCACCAGCCTTTCTTTTTAACAGTTCTAACCCCTTCCCCTCTCTCTCCCCCTCTGAAGAATTCTAGAGAACAAATGGCCCCGTGGCATGCTTCCAGTGAGTTCTTCTCCTCCAGGTAGCTCCAGGAGGGTCCCCTTAGGTTGCAGTACACCTTGCTTGCTTGCTTCTGTGTGCATCTACAGCTGCTCCCCACCCTGCTTGGACTGGCTTCTAGGAGTTACTGTGGGAACTGGGGTTTGTGAAGATATTTTCAGGAGTGAGCTTAAGAAAGCTTTCATAGAAAGAAAAAGGGAGAGATGGAGAGAGTGGGGAGGAAAAGAGGCGGGGTGGGTTGAGAGACAGAGGGAAAAAAGGAAGGAAGGGACATCCAACTGTGTAACTGAGAGTTCACTTTGGAAAGAAACAGGGTCCTGGGGAGATGGCTCACATGGTACAGTGTTCGATGCATAAGGCCCTGTGTTCATATCCCCAAGACCCAGGTAAAAAGTCAGGCGCGGCAGCACATACCTGTCATCCTCATGTCCGCTCAGCAAGCTCTGGAGTCCGTGAGAGACTGCCTCAAAGGGAAGGCAGAGGATGACTGGGGAGATATCCAGTGTCGACCTCTGGCTTTCACGTGTATGTGCACACAAACTCACAAACAGACCTGCACACTTATACATGAACACATACATATGCATAACACAGAGAGAGGGGGGAGAGAGGGAGGGAGGGAGGGAGGGAGGGAGAGAAAGAGAAACAGACTCTTTAAGGCCCTGTGCAAGGTTTTACGTTGTGTCCTCTTTCTTGACAGTGAGGTCAAGGACATTAGTAAGGACTCAAATAACGAAGAGAACTCTGACATCGAAACAGTCAAGGCTAGCCTGGGCTACAGAGCAAGTTCCAAGCCACTAACATCTGAGGTCTAGTCTTTTCCAAGTCACAGATCCACTGGTGTGACTTGTAGGTGAGTCTGAATTTTCCAAATCTCTGAAAACGCCACATGCTTGGATAAAACATCCTTCCTCTCTCTCACCCTCCTAGGGTAGCTTCAGCATTGAGGAAGGAGGCTCAATAAAAAGTCCTGAGGGTGTCTCATGGATGTACAACAAAAGTCAGTCACCTTTAGGATGACTGGGGACGTTGTTCTCATTTCTGATCTCTACCATGTGGTATTAGTGTATCCTTCTCAACCACCCTCCCAAAGTGTTCCCCCAGCCATGCAAAGGCCACAGGTCTGGTGCCAAAGATGCCACAGTCTTGCAGAGGCTTCACATTCTGTAAGAAGTGTCCTAAGGCTGAGTGGTGAAGGTTCCCCAAACCCTGCAGACTTTCACCTCAGCTGTCTGAGATCAAAGGGCAGGATATAGCTTTTTCACTCTCAGGGGACTGAGTTTTCCCTGTTAGTTTGTGAGCCTGAGTTCTTACTTCCTCACAGCATGGGTTTCCTTCATGGAGCCTCTGGAGCATCTCTGTGGGTCCTGCTTATATAAGCCTCATCCACACCGAATTCCAGCACTGTTGCATCAAAAAGATGTTTCTGAGAAACAGTCCTGGGAAATGGACACACTGTTCTCTCCTCAATCTCCTCACAAAATGATTAAGTTAAGAGCTTTTTAAAAGATCTTCCTCCATCTTCTTTCGTAAGTACTTGGAGTTGAAACTAGGGCTTCACATGTTAGCCAAGAATTCTTCTACCTCTGTAAGACGTCATTCAGCCAGGGTTATTAAAGTCTAATTTACACGAAACAAAATGCACAGTTTTCTAAAGTTTTGTTTTCATTTTAGTGGGCAGAAAGCATGTACGTGCCATGGCATGCATCCGGAGGTCCAAGGACAATTTGTGGGAGTGAGTTCTCCCCTTCTACCATGTGGATCCTGGGGATCAACTTCAGGTCATCAGGCCTGGCAGCAGGTGCCTTTACCAGCTGAGCTACCTATCGACCTAAACATGCACACCTTTAAAGTATGGAATTTGAAAAGTCTTGACAGATGTGTATGTAGCTCCAGCACCACAGGAGGCATAAGTCTTTTCCATCAGCTGCACAAGTCAGCTTGAGCCTCTTTGTAATATTGTCCTCCCTGTCCCCAGCTCCTGGCTTTCTCTCACCAATGGCTTACCCTTAATATTTTGTCTTCCTAGAATGTCATGCAAATGCAATCCCATTTTACTGAATTGTAAAAGTTGTTTGCATAGTCTAGATCTGAGCCCGTGTAACTGGTGTGTTACCTTTTATCCTTTAAAATGGGCTTCTTTTTATACAAGTGCCAAACTATTTCAAGGACTCACAAGTGGTCCTAGTGTTTAGAATTAAAGCATTCTTTGGCCAAGAAAACACATAGCGACCGAAGAAGCTGTGGTGGTTTGAATACAACTGGCCCCTATAAGCTCATAGGGAATAAGTAGCAGTATTAGGAGGTGTGGCCTGTGGGAGGAAGTGTGTCATTGTGGAGGCAGGCTTTGAGGTCTCATATATGCTCAAAGCCACACTCAGTGAGACAGTTCACTTCCTGTTGCCTGTGGATCAAGATGCAGAACTCTCAGCTCCTTCTCCCACATCGGGTGGCTCATAACTACCTGTAACTCCAGCTCCAGGGATACACCACTTTCTTCTGGGCTCTAAAGGTGCTTGCACATACATGCAAACACACACACACACACACACACACACACACACACACACACACACACTTCTTGTATATTATCCCCCATTTTATAGATGCAGAACTGAGGTTTAGAGAGAGTAACTTGATGTCTGCCTGCATGCCACCATGTCCTATAATGATCATATAGACTAAACCTCTGAAACTGTAAGCCACCCAATTAAATGTTTTCCTTCATAAGAGTTGTCATGGTGTCTCTTCACAGCAATAGAAATTCTAACTAATGCAGAAGTTAGTACCAGAGACAGGGATATTGCTGTGACAGGCCTGACTATGCCTTTGTTTGAAGGAATATGGACCTTGGGACTGTAGATTAGAAAGCAGGTGAATGCTTTAATTGTTGCTTACTGGGCCATACTAGTAGAAGGTTGGAAGACAGTGGTGCTGAGTGTGATTTGATGAACTGGGGGGTGGGGGGCCTGACTCGAGAGGTTTCAGAGGAGCATGTTGCCTAAAGAGCATTCTTGTGATAATTTGGTGAAGAATGCAGCTGCTTTTTGCCCTTGTCCAAAAAGTCTGCCTGCAGCTATAGGCTTTGTCATGTGGTTATTACTGTTAACACTAATGAAGATTTATAATGAAAAGGAGCAATCTAAACAAGGAAAAACACAAAATGTACGGTTTGAGGATAAAAGGAGCAACAGGAAGTGGAATGGGACTAAGTCCTGTGTTCAAGGAGATAAACAAATTAAGAAATTTGTGGTAGCACATGCCTTTAATCCCAGTACTCGGGAGGCAGAGCCAGGCAGATGTCTGTGAGTTCAAGGCCAACCTGGTCTACAGTGTGAGATCCAGGACAGGCACCAAAACTAAACAGAGAAACCCTGTCTTGAAAAACCAAAAATCAAACAAACCAAAAAAAAAACAAAAAACCCAAAACAAAAACAAACAAAAAACAAAACAAGAAATGAAATGAAGAGGCAGGTGGATCTCTGTGAATTCAAAGCCATCCTTGTCTACAAAGTGAGTCCCAGGACAGCCAGAGCTGCTATACAAAGAAATCCTGTCTTGAAAGACCAAAGAAAAAACACAAACCAAGAGAAAAAGAAAAAGAAATGGAATACAGGAAGTGGTGACCTCAGGGAAAGTTCCCACCCAGCTAAATTTCTAACTTGTGAAAAGAAATTAAAGAAAAGCTTAGAGCTAGGTGTGGTGGTGTATGCCTTAAGGATCTCTGAGTTTGAGGCCAGTCTGGTCTACAGAGCAGGGTCCAGAACAGCCAAGCTTAGGCAGTGAAGGAAACCATGGAAAACAGAAAGCTGATGAAGCTGTAATTGAACAAGAGAGCCATGTTCCAGATCTAGCAAGTAGCAGAACTTGGCAGCTTCAGCCGTGTTGTTCTGGCTTTAGAGTTAAGGAGTGACTAAGGAAAGCCACTAATGCCAGACATGTGTCAGGAGTGTCCCTGAATGTAGACCTAGAGAGGCCATTGTGTGAAGCTGTGAAGGTGAAGCCTGGATTGCCTTGTAGGCCCCAAGATGTTGGAGATGCCAGAGCCATGGGATACCTGCTGAGGAAAGTTGCTAACAGGGATTAGAACCAGCCCAAGAAAAAGAAGTGTGTTGCAGTCAACAAAGCTGAAAGAGTTGGCTCTCTGAAGAGTGTTTTGACATCAGACATGGAGATGCAGAGTTTGGAGTTTTCCCAGCTATTTTTCTGTCTTGCTTTGGTCCAGTATTTCCTTACTATTCTATCTTCCCTACATTTTGGAATGGTAATGTATATCCTGTGCCATTGTGTGTTGGAAGTATAGGATCTGCTTTTTTACTCTCATTTTATAGGGGATTACAGTTAAGAGATTGCACGAATCTCAGAAGAGATTTTGAACATTGTTGAGACTGTGATAGACTATGGGGACTTTTGAAGTTGGACTAAAAGCATTTTACATTATGATATTTTTATAAGCTTATAGGAGCCAAGAAATGGAATATGGTAGTTTGAATGTAATTGGCTCCCATGAGCTCATAGGGGATGGCACTATTAAGAGGTGTGGCTTTGTTGGAGCAAATGTGTCCTTGTTGGAGGAAGTGTGTCACTGTGGAGACAGGCTTTGAGGTCTCATATATACTCAAGCCATGCCCAATGAGACAGTTCACTTCCTATTGCCTGTGGATCAAGATGTAGAACTCTCAGCTCCTTCTCCAGCACCATATCTGCCTGAATGCTGCTGTGTCCCATCAGACGATAGTGAATTAAATCTCTGAAACTGTAAGCCACTCAGTTAAATGTTTTCATTTCTAAGAGTTGCCATGGTCATGGTGTCTCTTCACAGCAATGAAAGCCCTAAGATAGAAGCCCCATTCTTAAGAAACTCAATGTGTCAAATACAGCTGTAGTTTATTAATCCGTTGGGGGCCAGGCCTTCTCAGAAGCCCTGACCAAAAGAGAAAGGGAACACTACTAGTTCTGTGTCCTTGCACAGAGGCAGGCTTGACAAAGTCTGGTGTGGGGTTGGGGCCAGGGCCTTCAAAAGAGTAAAGTTTGCTTCTTGAGAACCCAGCTTTTTATCTCCTTGGGGGCTGTGGTTTTCAGTACCAAGGCCACTGTGTACTAAGTCTGTGGTACACTTCAGAGGTCCTGTGATCCCTTTGTACAACATTGCTTGACAAGACCTCCTGCTGACTACATCCTGTTTTTCTTCTGCAACAGTATATAAGATGCTGCACTTCTCCTATGAGTGAGTACATACCATATTTGTCTTTCTGAGGCTGGGTTACCTCACTCAGGATGATTTTTTCTAGATCCATCCATTTGC